GGTAATAAGAAGGCGAAGACACACCATAAACGTTAGACATACGTTCATGAATCTCCTTAGGTGCTTTCCCTTCTTTGGTGAGGAATTTCATCACTGAACGATGTTCAACTTTCGTCAAATCCATGACACAGACTCAGGAAAAGAAATCTAATGCGCTACCACTTTGAACGGACTTGAGCCACTGAGCTGGTATAGTGGTGGGGCACTCACGAGACATGTCGAGACATGTCACAGCGTCACAGCAGGCACTGGCCTGTTGCTCATCCCTTTCATATTCAGGTAATAACTTATTGAGTGGCCCTCGTAAGTCTGGGGGGAGGCGGATTGTCCTTTCCTACTCTGTCATTCGCCATGAGATAACTCAAGCGTGAAAGAATGCAGAGACTCCAGACTACTGTGACTCCAGAGTCACAGTAGACGGAAACCAGGACAACATCTTGGCAACATGAAAAAGGTAGAGAAGGAAAATGAAATAATTTCACTAAACATGTGGTGCACTGGAACGAAAGAGTCACTATAACTCATGAATCCACTTGCACCCAGTAAATAAAAAACACTGAGAAATTAAAATGTGATCTATTCAATCATATGATGCAAGGAATTCTGACAAGGTATAAAATAGAAAAATAATGAGAACTTTGTTCATGATGTAGATGGGCTGGACAGAACATTAAAGCATTTTTGGAGCACGAGACTGGCTACTCCCTAGGGATGGCCTCCAAGCTGTGTCCTTTTCTATAATAGGAAACCAGCCCGCATGCAAATTAATGCTAAACATAAGTCCCAAGAACATCAGGAAAAGGCCACCAACACACATAGAACACTGCAAAAGGGAGAAACAGAAGTTGAAACTTGAATAATAAACTAGGCCTCATTTTCATGACAACAGGAATCACAAGACGGTTTTCCACAGTGAAACCTACATTTGATCTCAATTTTCTGGTTGAATTACATCCACAAGATGAACCAGAACGAAAGCTGTCCTGCAAGTCCTCTGGTCATTTTTTACTTTTCATAGTAACATATGCTTTCATGTGAGAAAAATAGTTCTCAACTTCTCAGCTACACACGAAACAAATGGAGTGCCAAAGAAGGGAAATGTCCCTCTGGTCATCCTGTTCTGGAACCTCAATTGATGTACCACGTATACATTACACAAGATGAACAGAGACACAAGCTGATGAGGGCTAATTGAATTAAAGGGGGGGGGGGGGGAGAAGAAGCAGCCGAGAGCATCAACACACAATAATCAATGTTTTTCACCCTTGCGTGCAAAGCCGAACGTGTATTTGCTGAGGCTGGAAGTCATCTTGCGGAGGGTGAGGGAGCTGCTGGGTGTTGAATTGCTCCGTCCAACCATCAGGCTAGCTGTTGACATCCCATACTTGTGCATCTATCAGGTACAGAATGACAAAGGGACAAACGGCACATGTAAAAGATGAAACATCGACTCAGAGCATGATACTACTCCAGCCTAGAATACTAATATCGCAATTTCCAAGAAGTAGAGACACGATCTTAATTAAAACCTACAAGCATGTTCAAGTAAATTTGCAAATTATCTACTCCAAGATTAATGATAATTAAAATTTAAAAAATACTAGAACATGTAAAAGCAATAGGCTGAAATTAGTCTAAAACTAATCACAAGTGATACAGGTAGTGAGCTTGACATGCTGGAAGGCAAAATTGCATGCATCAAAATTGATGGGAAGGTTCACCAGATCATGGTCTGAGTCAGTGACTAGCTTAAGTGCAGCTGGGAGAAATTGCAGACCAAAGAAAAACTCTTCAACAAGTCAGGTAAGATAGACATGTATTCCAGATGGCACTGGTTTAATCTCCCACTGAATGCTTAGCATAGACATTAGACTGGATGAGACATTTCCAGGCAGATGGGATGGCCTTTATAGTGTTTCTGTGAGTTTCGCACGTCTTGCGGAATGCTAGGCATTAGCAGCAAAATACTCCGCACATCCCTCAAAATGGATTGCACGCGTTGCATAATGTTTCGTACCACCTGCTCCCCTCCATTCCTCCAGAGCAGCTCAGAATGGCAAGACCACCTGGCAATCCTGATGGAAACCATGGAAACCGAATCAGGAGTAATCCGTGAATCTGCGCGCTCGATATCCATCCATTCTAAAGACCGTCCACAAACCATGCATTCCTCTCTCCAAGGGCTGTCAGATGGATGCGTCATTCAGAGTGGCACTTGCTCGCTGGGCGGGAAGAGCGAGTACAAAAGATGCAACACGTGTGAATCATTTTGAAAGGAGTATGAAGTAATATGGTGCTCGTGCGTAACATTATGCGGCAGGAACGAAAGTCAATGGGAAACACCGTAACCCTTTCCCATGTACATATTCAGACTTGTGTAGTGGTAGTCCAGGTTTGTTCTCGGACTCTGATCATTCACTGTTTCTAGGTTATTTCACTGCTATTTACGCCTGTAACTGCTATCTTCAATGGTCATCATATTCCATTTTCTTACATAAACTGTTGTGTTTAGGGAAACTCCCAATTTTTATATTACATGGGGGATGGCAGACTTTTTTTTGTAAAACGGTAAAAGGGTTAACACTTTCACCCCCGGCAATTTGAATGCACTATGGGCACAAGATGTCATATGACAGGTATAGGGCTCAAAATGTTAAGGATGTGGAGTGATAGTCAACATTTAGTAAATAGATATTGATTTTTTGGCTAGGGGAGGAAGCAGCAACATTGCCTTGAAAGAGGAAGTGCAAGACATTCACATGCACACCTCCACTTTCCCACTCTTTTTTGAGGGACTGGGGGACATTAAGAGCATGGAAACTCGTGACACTATGTTGGTGCTTGATACTCATAATTTCCAATGTTTTGGAATCGGTACTTCCCTGCTGATTCCCAAAATAATTTCACAAAAATGTAGTCGACTCTCAATATAACGAAAAACCGGTTGTATCGAAATCCTAGGTATTGCCCGGCGAATATCCATAGATACTCCAAGCTAAAAAATTCCGAAAATCGGAACGTAACGAATCGTAACGAAATCAGATATAAAGAAATTTCCGATTGAACAAAAGAATTTCTGTGTCCCCCAAAAGAAACTACGCAGGATATTATGAATTTTACCCTGTCCAGAATTAATTTTTTTTCCCTCCCTCTTGAAGGGAGCTTTACACGGCCTATGAGAGCCAAGGATTTGGCGCATGCAGAATGTGCGTGATATGGGGGATGTGAATATGGGTGAATGTGCGTATGGTGGGGGATGTGAACACGGAAGATGCAAGCGAACAAAGCACATCAGTGCTCGCGCTCAGCAGCTTTTTGTCGGGCTCCTTTGTTCCAATGATCCCATGTGAGCATCATTTCGCAAGGCTTCGGGAGGTTCATGCCCTTTACACGGCAGAAATATTTACGCATTTATAACCCTTTCGTTGCGTAATTTAAATTGGCATGAAGCCAATGGCAATGTTGCAGGGAACAACTGATGTAGCTTTTCGCAGCGTAAGGGTTAAGATATCAGCTGCCAATGCAATTCCTGACGCTTTAACCGCGATGCCACATGATCCACCATCGGATATGTGGCAGCGAAGGTGTTTTAAGTACTGGCGCCCATGAAACCCTCAAAAGCCGTAGGACCCCCAAAGTACACCCACGGGAAAATAATAATATGTACACAGGCATAACGGGATTCAGTTCTCTAATTGGAGATATATGACTCTTTCCTGAAGTAACGAAAACCCGATATAACGAAATAATTCAGGCGGCTTCATCAATTTCGTTATAACGAGAGTCGACTGTATTCTATTTTAAAAATAATAGAGTGCCTGCATTGGACCCTAACCTCGGGAGCTGTCATGAAAAAATTTTAAGCAAATAAAGTAACCATTTCACTCACCCTGAAGACAATTGTTGAATAGGGCAGAAAACAGTTCAAATTATTTCATCATACACTATTTCCGGAATAAATGTGTACCCCCTATAGGAGAGCTTCCATCGACTGCAGGTAGTGACATCTTAAAAATGGGTGGTTTCATCTATCACCTGCTGAGGCGGAACCTCTGGAAATGTGTATTTTCTCCTTTCTCCACAATAGGGGTGGTACGAATTTAAACCGTAAACAACGTATTTCACTCAAGAATTCCTTCGCTGGAACTTTCTAAAGCAGGGATGTGCAACTCGCAGTCCGCGGGCCGCATGTGGCCCGTGGACCTGCTTCTTGCGGCCTGGTAATGCATATAATGGGATAACAGATGAAATAAGCTTCTTTGCGGCCCAAGGCCCACCACAACTTTGGTCATCCCTTAGTAACTAAACTAGGGATAGACTGAGTCCTTTCATTTCCTTGCCCTAATTATTCCACACGTGGGGGGTCTATGTATGTCTCGAGGGAAAAGGTTAAAAAGGTCAAAGGCTAATTTTTAGCGTTGGAATTTCCTAGGGGTGGGTCGGGGGTAAGAATCACCGGCCAATCAGAGCGACCTTATGCCCTCATATACCCTGAGGGCAAAAGAGGGGAGCCTTTTCTTTTGCATTCTATGGCCCGCGTGAAGTCTGACATTTTCATGCGGCCCACTGCCGATAAAGGTTGCACACCCGTTCTAAAGCAAGGTTTCCACCCAGGCTTCATCCGCACAATTACAATCAAGACAATAAATCGTTTTTTTTATATTTTTAATTACAACTATTGCCATTATCACTCATTTCGGAATTAGAGGTTCATTTCCATACTGGTTACGATTACAAATGCCAAAATCATGAAAAAGAACAGAGAAGTAGAGGTAGGCGTATGCTCTTACTGACAACCATACCTTGAATTTGTCTGGCGATGACATGAGGCGAGTCCCACGCGCTAGCGTACCCTCTCCTATAGAAGGAGAGTGAAGGATGGAAGACTGAACACGCTTCATAGGAGACTTGAATGAGAACTTCCGGGCTGCCCGGGAGAGTCGTCTGAATTCAGTCATGATGCTGGTGTTCGAAGCCTCGTTGCCGAGGCCGAGGTGTTCCCAGTCCGTGGTGATGGTGATGCAGCTGGGGTTAGGAAGGCACAGTTCCGCAGCCAGTCGAGCCTTGATGATTTTGAGCAGCTCATCTTTGGCGTCCCAGCGATCTTCCATCAATTGGAAGACATAAAGAGTCTCTCGGAGCTCCCCGTCTCGACGGATTTTCAGGGCGAATGCATCGTCCACCATGGCACCTGTGCTCGGCAAACACAGCACAGGACTTGAATAATATGCATAAGAGAGCAAATAAATAAATATGATAACCACCCTGATGTGAAACTTGAGCTACAAGTGATCGGTACTTCCTCCTGATGTTTCTCAGCATGAATTCTGGTATCAGTCATTCTGGTAAGTCGTAAGTCAACCAATACACCTAGGCTGTTTTCTGCATTGAGCTATCAGTCCCACCAATCAGCTTTGCAATGAAAACAGTACCCAAGTCACGACTTCTCTGAAGGTGATAGCTCTTTGATCAACCATACATAATTCCTCAGACCCATTTGACAGTCATGACACCTGAAGCGTAAATGCAGAATAGATTAATTTAACCCTTTCACTGCTGAGTTATATTCGGGACTGCAGCTGAGAACGATGATGGAAAACGAGTATACTAGGGAGCCATAGTGAAAGAATTTATCCTCATGAGGATCAGCCATCCTGTGTATTCACATATCAAGTTACAGTGGTTCAGAGTAGCCTAGACCTCCACCCTTAATATGTTGGGTCAAGACCAAAATTTAAGTTTCATGTGATTCTAGGAGACATGATGCTGCTAGGTTTGACTAAACCACATAGACTAACTTGAACCTACATTCCACTGAGATTTCAAGCTCAATCTAAAACAAGACTAAGAAGGAAAAGGAGGACCATCAATCACTGAGCCTGCTACTTGCACTCTATGTTATATTGCACTCTTGAGTTATGAGTGCTTGTGATGGTGGCTTCCACATGAACTCCAGCTTAGAGGGTTGAAGTTCCTTTATCCTCTCCTTCCCTCAAAGAAGGAGACAGAATGAAGATAACCTCATTCCTTACAGAGTGGTGCTGAATGCTGACATAAGCAGAATTGTGAATCACAGTAATTTTCATGACACCTGATGTTCACAGGGTGAGCCATGGTCTAAAAGTTACAAAAATGACAGACTCTGTCCAGTACCATGAAAAGGGTCCAAATTGACTAGCCCAGTCCAGTAATTGCACAATACAGCCATAAAAAAATTAGTATCACAATAGCATTGGGGGTTAACTCAAGTTTCATGAACAAATTTTTCCAGGCTACCAGAGATGGATTCATTGGAATCAGTAGGACTGGAGTGGTGGATATCGATGAGTTGGCGAATGTATCGGATCTCAAGGCATGAGATGAACTTGTAAGGCTTTGATCCACCAACCCCACTGGAACCAGGAGGGAGCTTCTCCTTTTCTAATGTTCCACCTACTCCAGAGAGACTCATCGTGCTTGGACTGCGGAACAGGCTCCCTGGTGTCTTGCTTGACCGACGCTTACAAACCTGGTTGAGCACCAAGAGATAGGATGATGCAATATCATAATGGAATAAACATCAGGAGAGAGGAAGAAAGAATGAAATACTAATCTGTCAAGTAGTTACGAAAAGATAACTTGCTATAGCCGCTACATGCCATGAATAGATAAATTTTACTTTAAATTTTACAAGCCAAATGTTTCCAAATTGGAACAGAGTGTGAAAGTTGGAAAATACAAATTTTGCCACATTTGAACATAGCATTCATGAGGGAAAATGTGAATTTTGCCTTGAAGAGCATGGAATCTTTATAGGCATGAAAAGGAAGATTCCATGCTCTTCGAATCAGGCAAAATTAAAAATTTTCCATTGATATGCTCTGTTTGAATATGGAAATGCTTGGCATGTAAAGGTTAAAGTTCAAGTAACAAAATAAATGACTCACCAAAATAACATCAGTGAATATGAAAAGAGTCATAGGATCTCCTTTCTTGCCAGTTGCATTGTTGAGGTCAATGACATTGTATTCCCCAACATAACTCCTTGTTAGATATGATATCAGGTCAGCCTGCATTGAGTGAAAACAATGTCTTAGAGTTTCTGAACAATTCAAATAATTGTTGATTCTGATCATTTCCTAGTCATCTTATTCAAGTTTTTGGTTCAGCTCAAAGCTTGAAATTTTTCGTTTCAGTTACTGCAGCATTCCCTTTTATTACTACTTTACACATAAAGAAATCCCATTTCTGAGAATGTCACACCATCTGCTACTCACTAAAGAATGTTGTAGACTCAAACCAGTTTGTTTAAGACTCCAGCATTTAGCCTCTGGTCCACTATGGATGTAACAGCTTTGCAAGTGACAGTGATACACAGTGTGTTTTAGATGTAGCTGCTCCTACAAATTTTTAGAACATTGTCAATGTTAAGTACACTATGTGATGGGATTTAATGCTGAAAGCAGCACTAATCACACTGCAAAGTGCTTTCAGAGCTAAGTGGATTTGAACAGACATAAATATTTAAAAATGAGTGCTTATAGTATGAGGAAATATTGAAAACCATGGCTCACTGAATTGAATTGCTTTTTATTTCCATGGATTCAGGTCATCAACATCTTGCATAGGTTACAGCCCAAAATAATACAAGGGACTAAAAAGAAGTCTAGGTCAATGACAAGAAGTCTCTCTTAGAAATTTATAAAAAAATTATTTTTGAAATTTTGATGCATTGGTTTTCGGATGGCGAATGAGTTTTCCAGTAATAGGGCGGTTGTCCAATGGCTTTTTGAATGTCTGGTCTTAAAGGATGATCTAAACTCCTTGAAATGTGCATGGCCAGAGCAGTACCTAGAGAATTGACTTTCTTGAAAAAATTGGTAACATACACCTTGCTGTTTGTATTGGATAGCCAAGGAGAGGCAACCCATGTGAAATATTAATGTAAGACCATATATGAAATGGCCATATCTAGAACCATAGTTCTTGTGCCCCTCCCCTCCTCCCACACTTTTTTCATCTGCAATATGCTTATGGTACCTTGAGAGGGTAGGGCCCAGTTTGAAACCCTGACTGGAATTTTCCAGGTGGACAGCTGTATATTCTGACCATTTCCAGCTGGCAAAGTGCTGAAAAATGGTAATTACAGGTTGTTTTACAAATGGAAATTTACTGTTAGAATTTTATTCAGAGGACCCTTTAGTTGGAATACAGCTGAATTTACAGTTGAAGTTCAGCTGCTTCTATAGATGGACCTCCAGCAAGAATAGGTTTTGGGTGTCACCTGAATAAGCAGATCCTCTAGAAACAGTCCTGTTCTCCACTACCCAAAGGTGGTACAAATACAATCTGGAAACTATGTACAGGTTATGGAAAAGAAAAGACCAATGACTTTTCACTTAAATAACTCTGTATACACTGGAATTATTTTCACAAAACTCACACTAAGCAAATACAAGATGTTTCCAGTTGATTATCAAAATTTCATCTGAATTTCTTGGGCCAAAGCAAATTTCAGCAATTGATGAAAAGAAGTTAGTTATTGAGAATGGACAAGAGCTCCAGCTGGTAGTAGAGAAGAGGAAACACTTGAGCACTGTCCTTCCTGGTCATCAAAACCATGTCAATCTCATCTCCTATTAGAATTCATTCTTCGGGCTGGTTGTCTCATATGGATGGTTTTCATAAACATATTCCCAATGAATAGCAGATAATAAGTTTCAATCCAGAGAGTTTTCTCAAAGTTCATTCAGAATTTCCCTTGGTTTATGGAGAATGTGACAGATGAAGAAGGACATAAAGAAGACCAATTACTTCCAGTGTGTGCATCTACTAAAGACTCCATCAGTCACAATTAGTCAAATTTGGTTAGAATAGGATATGTCTTCTTTCATTTCATACAGGGCAAGTTACCTAAATTCTTTTGATTTTTTAAATTTAAAAACAAGGGACTAATAAGCCATTCTGCTTTTTTCTTTGCACTGTCAAATTTTTTGTGATGGTGGGAAAGGAAAAACATGCAAACTCACAGGACAGTTTTCTATCCTGTTGAACTTGTGTATTAGCTCAACCTTCTGGTCAAAGAGACGCCTCTCCTCATTGATGTCATGAAGGGAAAGGTCAAGAGCCTCCATGGCCTTCCCCAGGGATGCATGGTCCTCAAATGTCACCGGGGTGTGCTTTCGCAAATCTGCAAATTAACCAAGTTCTTGTAAAAAGTTACCACCTACTAGACAACTGTTAATGAAAATAAAGATAAATTACAATTTAACAATCATTCTCTGAGTCAAATGTATCAAAACTCCTCAATTTTGGTGGCAATCTCACTCCTAGCCAGATCCAGAAATCTGGAACAGGTGGAGTAACATACATAGTCTTGAAGGGCTTGATCCATGAAGGCTGTTGTTGTGTAGTTTACTTTGTTTTGAGCAGTCCTTCCTACTTTTCTGCCTAACAGAAGTTGACCCTAATTACCACCACAATCACGTCTATCGACAGCTATTGGACTGGCTGCGCTTTGACCTTTCAACTTACAAAGACCTCTGAAGCAATCTGCCCTTCTTCCAAGGTAGTTTGCTCCTCATCCTTCCCTACCTTCCACATTCCACCTTTGTCTCTGTCCCTCATCTGAGTATTTTCCAGCAACAAATCATGATTTGTGTCCTTTCTGCCTTCTTGAGCATCTCTGTTCTCATTATGATGGTTCCAGGAATGGATCTGCTGCCTGCCAAAACACTTCCTTCCTGTCTTAGTAACTCTAAATGATAGTACATAGGGAAGGGCATCCTCAACTTTTTTATTATCAACCATCATATTGTAATTATGTTCTTTGTGCACACCATGTCATCCCTCCTCTCTTTGATAACAGAAGTTTGCAGGGCCACTTTTGTCTACCACAGTGTTTTCTTCTTGTTCTAGTAGCTCTATCCGATTGTACATTGGGAAGAAGAATGCCCTCAACCATCATATCATGGTCACCACTAGTATGTTCAATCACATGATGCAGCAATCAACTTGTTAGTCTATCATCATGTTGGTCATTGCAGCTCAATCACCCATTTCATAAGCATGTTATGAACATTCTTAGAGATGTTATGGTCTTATTCACTAGTTCTTCCTTGATGTGCTTCCTTTAGAAGCTGTTTTTTTTTTTTGCAGGATTCAAGAGATAAGGACAAGGGACTTTGGAAGGCTAAGCCAGATGGACTTTGGTTACTTAGCAAGAGTGTTTTTCATCTAGACATGACCTTAGGGTATACACTGAATCAGGTTAGGATGATGGCTTGTTTCAGGTCGCTTATCTAAAGGACCAAATTCTAATAGCAAGCAAGCAATTCACTCCCTACTTCATTGACTGTGCACTCTCTAAACAACTGGAGATGCCGAGCAGGAGGAGGAGGTCCCGCAACAAAGGAGAACTCTGTCATCAAGCCGACTGTAAAAGCCATGATCAAGTCCACTGTGTTGTAAAACTTTCTGCCTTTTTACCTGAGAGCGATATCCATATCTCTAGAAGTTCTCAGTAGATTTTCAAACAAAGACTACTGACAGATTCCCCATATCACAATGCCTACTCTATCCAAGTTTCAGATTTATAGAGAAAATCCCAGATCTATCTTCAAACCTGAGTGCCACCAACCATGGTACACTAGACTCAGAGAATGGTTGTTGAAACCAGAAAAACATTGTGTTCCACCACTTTACTGAGTACAGTGAACACATGGTAAGTAAATTGGGCTACATGGTAATAATTTTGCAAAATTACTTCACAAATTAGCAGTCACCCAAAAATCTTACTTGAAGTTTGCAGGGCTGTTATAAACTATTTACTGTTACAAACCTTAAAGTGCAGAAAATTATCAAGGAGATTGGTGCACTTGGGCCAAAATATATTGGTTCATGGAGGGGGCAGTAATTACATGCTGGCAGAGATTCCGAGCACATGACCCTTTTATCCCAGAATTGGGACTAACCCAAGAGACTAGGTCCAGATTAAAGTCTGACAGTTGTCATTTAGGCTACGATGACCAATGTGCCTTGCTGAAGTTGAAAATAAAATACACAGGGTGTCCATAAAAAAAAGTATACTTTTGAAGTTCAATATCTCCAGAACAGAAAGGCATAGGGCAGTGAAATTTTAAGGTGATACTCAGGGTCATGGGATTTTACTTGTGACTATTTTGCAAAAATTTCTTAAATTTTATTTTTTTTTTCCATATTTCCATATTTTCCACTATTATGTGCACTTGTAGTAGACTTTTCATCAATTGCACCTCTGATTTTGGTGACAACATCTACAGGGGTTCATGGCCTGCCTCCATGCAGCTTGTTGTAAACACAGCTTGTTCATCTTCTTGAACTTATCGACCAAACTCATCAGAGCTTGTCTCAAGCAGGGCCCCAAAATGCAGGTTGTGTGCTGTGCAGTATTTTTGTAAGGCAACAACAGCATTACACTTGTTGGTGTAGAAAATATTTATTAGTTTGCCTCTCTGTTTCTTAGGCAAAGTCATGACTTTCATGTATTTCATTCAGAAAACAGATCACACATCATCCACAGGGCTGTGAGAAATCATCTCATCTGGGAAATGTTTGCATGCGTCATAGTTGATGGGAAAAGTGAACCTCAAGGTGCTTACAAACTAACAATGAGAATTCTTCTACAAAGTGTTATGCCTTTCGTCTTAAGCTGTGGACGTCCCCCATCTGCTCTGTTTGGGCAGATACTGTCTTTCTTCTTACTTATTTTCATTCTTAGGGTGGAGATGTCGAAAAGGGTCGAACCGCACTGCAAGTTGTTAGCAGGGTTGTGCCCCTGACAAGTCTCCTGCACTGCTTGTCGGTCCATCAGACTATTTTCACTTTTTTTTCTCTTTTTTAACGCTCTTCTCTGTTACTCATTAGGTCCAATCCACATTGTCTGGAGGTCTGCCATGGGTCAATTTGAATTTTTCTCATTTTCTATACACAGGGAGTTCGTATTTAAACGCAACATAGGGAATATTTTGCCGCCTGTACCTTGCATATAACATTGAATCAAGATAGATGGAGGCGGAATTCGCGCGAACGGAATAATGCCGAAACGGAACTGTGTCGACAAGTTTGCAGTGTCGGAATAATGTCGACAGGAACAACGCCGAACTGGACTAACACCGACTGGAATAGTGCCGACAGGAACAACGCCGAAAAAAAAATCCTGGAATAGCCCCGAATAGAAATGTTGCGGACAGGAAAGAAGTCGAACGCACTAAATTTGAAAAGCGCCGAAACGGAATAACGCCGACAGAAACTGCGTCGACAGGAAGAACGCCGAATCGGAATAAGAGCGAGAAAGCACCTACTCTTGTGAAACGACATCGAATGGAAAAACGCCGAAATGGAATAACAGCGACCGGAACAACGCCGAACGGAACTGCACCGTACTGGAATAACATAGAAAATCCCTTGAATTAGTTCCATGCAGTAAAACAGATGTCGCATGCTCCGGATCGTCGCGTGTAAGAGTCAGATCAAAGAACGTGTTCAACTGAGCAACTTCCCTAACATCACATTGTCTTCGCACTTAGTTTTGAAAATTGATGAGCTGAACCACACCTTCAGTAATTTTGATGCAGACAAGTAAAACTAGGCGACGCTATTATCGAAGGTATGAAGGCATGAGTAAATTTCTTTCCTTTTTCCAAATGGAGCACTTAGAGATCTTTTTCGTTTCGGGTTTCTTACAATATGCCGCACGGAAATAAGACCCCTAGATTAGGCAAAGGCAGAAAAGTGTCATCCCGTTATGTTCAAGTCAGATTAAATACTCATTCACTTGTGCGACATTTAGTGATATTGATGTCATGTAATTTGATCAACTTCACTGAAATATAATGAAAAATAAAACAAATCCAACTTTAGCCCATTCCTAAAAAATGAATAGTTTGGCTGGAAATATTTTGATTGTGGCCGTGTTGCAGGATGAGATGATTGCACTCTGAAGAACTTCTTGGAATTCTTTCTTTAATGACAATTGCTCTGGGGTCATGTAAGATTTTTACTTTATTTTATCCCCCTCATATCTACTTTCACCCCTTTTTCCAGGGGTGTGGAGAGGATCAGGATTAGCTCCCCTCCTCAATCCACCCCCATGAACCGCCCATCGCTCTAATCTCCAACTCCAATCCCCCCCCCCCACCCCCAAAGTCTGTTCAGGCATTGCATTGAGATGAGTTCATGTTCATATCTGAACAGAGTCCTTCTTCCCTTTATAATGAAAGTATAAAAATAATGTTTTAAAAATAGATTTAAAGAAGTGCTTCCAATCGAGCGATGCTTTGCATCTTCGTTTTATTATGAATGGAAACGAAAAATTAGTAATAAGTTACTTGAATAATTGGAGGCATTAGTGGACCCCCTGGAAAAGGAGTGGAAGTGGATAGGAGGGAAGTAAAAAAAAAAAACCTTATATAACCCAGGAGTAATTGTTAAGAACAAGTTCCAAGAAGCGTTGAGGGAGTGCACCATCTCAACCTGCAGCACAGCCGCAATCGATAGATTTCCTGCGAGGTTGACCATTTCTTTTAAGATATGTGCTCAAGTTGGAGTTTTCTTTAGTTTTTTTTTCTCCTAATAGATGATCATATGGCATGATATCAATATCACTAAATGTCGCAAGAATGAATGCGTCCTTAATCTGACGTGAACTTAACAGGGTGGCACTTTTCCGCCTTTGTCAATCCTGGAATCCAGGACAAAATGGCCCGGAAATTTTGGTCCCAAATAAGAAATAGGACAAAATGGTCCCTGCGGTAAAAATGTACGATGACATCTTCAAGATTTAACGATAATTTTAATAATTGCGTCATCTCCTCATGAATACCTTCTTAAATTAAGTTCTTTATTATCTTGAAGCTTGAAAGCACTGGGGCTACGAACCAAGATGTTTGTTTTCATCGTATCATCATATGCTATAACAGTACTAAAGGTTCACTATCTTCTTGTTCGCCTTCCCCTATCTTGCCCATCCTCCCCTCCATATTCCTATTCCTCATTCCTCTCTATTCTAAGAAATACATATTTCCACACTTGTCTCTTTATTGTCCTCTACGTTCCTTGACTTAGTACCCACATCCCCCCTCCCTCCATCCAACCCCTTTCGCCCATCTCCGCTCAGCCTTTCCTCCCCATCCGTCTGTCAATCTGGCTTCG